TGCGGAGTGGCAGTAGTTGTTTCGTGATTATACCAAGATGGGACGGAGTAGAGGTGAACGTATATAAGTACTCTAGATATTTGTTAGGCGGGGGGGTATCAGTGGGGTTGTTCAAGCGTGGCGTACTGCGTGGGCGTCACCGTAGAGGAGCACAAAGTTACGATTGCTTGTAGATTTATACAATATGTACCAGCACAAATTAGACGCATCATTTTGGATACGTTCCGAGTCAATATTCACGCAGCCATTTCTGAAAGACTGTTTCTGTTCCTCCTGTTATCCTGACAAGAATGCTAATGCGAATTAATAATGCTCCAAAATCTACTCATTTAGCCGTAAGCAGACCCTACGCCGAGACCCTATACCAACTCCTAATTATGATGGATCGACTGTCCCCCACGATCGCGCACAAGACTGTTCACCTGCCGAATCTCCATTGAATCCGCCTCCGACCCGCCCGACCGGATCCCCTCCTCATCATCGTCAGAAGCAGACCCTTCGTCGTCGTCATCGCTCGCCATCCCGCCCGCCTCTTCGAGCTGCTCCGTCTCCGCGTCGACGGGCTTCCTCCTCTTTTCGAAATCCTGCCTGTGCGCCTCGGCAATGATTTTGGAGAAGCTGCGCTGGATGGGCGTGATGCCGGACATGACTCTCTGTCTTAGCGTGCCGGATTCCTCGGCGCGGGGGTCGGATGATGCCGCTGGTCTGGCGGTTGTGGTAGCTGATGTGGTCGTAGCGCCGCCGCCGGTAGAAGCAGCGGGCGCTACTGCGGCCTCGCTGGTCGTTTCCTCTGGTACCTTGCCATCTTTACCAGCGTCACTTTCAATCGAAGACCGGGGCGCGACGAGGGGTTCGATGCGATAGGGGAGGGGAACGTCGCGGGAGGCTTTATATTGCGCGACGTTTGCGCAGTGTTCGTTTTCGACGCGGAAGAGAGTCCACATGCCGCGGCGGGAGACCTCGGCCATGGCGACGAGGAAGGAGACGATGGTGGAGTGTTGCGTGTCGTGGGTGAAGATTGCGTAAAAGATCCAGGCGAAGCGGAGGATGGGGTCGATGACCATGATGAAGTAGTAGGGCCAGCGTTTCTTGAGGGCCGTGATGTCGCGGAGGAGCCAGTGCCGGGATTGGGGTTGGAGGAGGGAGAAGTCCATGAAGAGGTCCCAGATTGCTGGGCTTTGGTTAGTATACGTACGACCGGCGATGGCATGAGGAAGAGGAGGGCTTACATGTGTAGATTGCGTTGATGGAGGAAAAGGTTATGAACATGGCGAGGTGGCCGTGGGTGTTGTTGATGCGGTACATGGAGAGGGAGACGGCGGCCATGATGGACATTGTGTATTTGCCGCCGTTGACGAGGTGAGGGAAGATGTTCCTCGTGTCCTTGTAACGACGCAGACATTGTAGGAAACGCCAGATCGGAGGCAGGGCGCCTAGGAAGCCGAGCAGCCGGGAGTGGCTGGAGTTGCACTGGGCTGGGTTCTCCCAGGCGTTGGCATATATACAGAAGAACAGCTCGACGTTCTGATAGAGGGTCAGTCGAGAACATCAAGGGGGGGCCAGATGGATGAGAACTTACACACATGGCGTATGTCAAGGAACAGTAGATATCGCCGAGGAAGAAGTCTCGGAACTCGACTGGGTACAAACCAGCCAGCAACAGGCGCCACTACATGTATCATTAGATTATATCTGTAGCAGAGAGAGGAGGTAAACAACTTACATGAGCGTACGCGAACCACCTTCGACTCCTTGCCATGAAAATGGGCGCGGGGAGGAAGATGATGAACACGGAAATAGCAATCAGGACCACGGGATAGTATTCATACACCTCGTTCGTCCCGTACTCGCTAAAGTTGAGCCATATGAATACCCCAAAGATGAAAGTGAACAAGCTAGGGAACTCGGCGAGCTGCCGCCAGTCGAGATTGTGCCGGGTATCGAATTCGAAGATAAAGGGGTAGTTGATCTTGTTCCGCGTCCAGATGGCACAGTTGAGACAAAACATGCAGAACAGGAGCAGCATCAAAAAGTACCCTCCGTAGATCTGCAAGAGGTAGCTGGTGCGTGACCGTACCTCGGGATCCTTGTCAAAGAGCAGCTGGCCACCAAAGACGGCGCCCTGGATGGCGAAAACCAGTCCAGTACCAAGGAGGATTCCGCAGCGGAATGCACTCCCAGATTCGTCTCCCGGTCTGCGGCTCAGACTTCGCAACTTGCCGGCCGCGAGTTTGTGGTTGCCACGCTCAAAGTACCGAGCATACAGGTCTTCCACCGCCTTGATATGGCCGTCCACAGCGTCACTGTTGACGAACCAAGACTTGCTGACTTTTTCGTTCATGTAGCGGTACTGGGGCCGGGCGTTGACAGCCTTGTCGTACTTTTTGTTCAGTTTGCGGAACGCAGTCCGATTCAGGAGAGCATAGGACTTGAGCAGTTCGAGCCCGCGGTAGAATTCCTGCAGAGCGAGCTTGAGCTTGCGTTTGGCGGTTCGGTACGGGACGTCATGTTCGTGGGGTCGTCGGATGTAGTCCCGTCCTGCGTCGCCGCCTTTAGGGCGCATGACTGGGGTCTGGGCCATTTTCGATAGTGCTTTGGAGTTTGGCCCCGGGCGGAAGATCTTGGACTTTACAGGATCGATCCAGCCGAGGGGGCCCTTTTGGGGACCGTCCGAGACGCCGTGTCCGCCGTTTAGGAAGTCGATCTCTGCCTGTTGCTTCTGAACATGCAGCTCTTGGGTCCGCCGGTTTCTCATCTCGTGCAGTTGGTCCTTGAGCAGACTCAGCCGTTCTCCGGCCTGGTCCTCCTTCAACTTGTAGAATGCCTCCACCTTTTCCAGCTCAGAGTCCAAAAAGTCAAAGAATTCCTTCTCCTTCTGCCGGACTAGGTCGATAGCCAGCCCTTGCAGTCCGTACTCTGGGTTCGTTCCTGATCGGTTCAGAGGTGACGCGTTCGAGAACAGGCGCCTGAGACCACCCCTCGGCGATGCATTATATGCAGATCCAATTGTCGCAGAGTGGGGGAGCCGTAGCGACGAAGGCGTGTTCTCGTGTTCGGTCGGGGGCGGGCCAGAAGAGCGAGGGGCATCGGCAATCATGGAGGCGCTTCTCTGCAAAGCCTGGCGGGTGGGCTGGTCGTCCTGGGCAGAAGCGGGCTGCGGGCTGGCATCACTCTGGTGCGACGGCACGCGCATTGCCGGCCCGGGCAGCTCAAAAGTCGCCTTGCGGTCCAAGGGGGCTCCAGTGTCATGATTCGGAGGCGTATGGACAAAGCTCCCGTACTGTAAATCGGTCGAACCGTTGTTTAACCCCTGACGTTCGTGGCTGGTGGAAACGGGAATCGCTCGTGCTGGTGTTGCGGGCTTTTGTCGTGCTGAGCCAACCGGAGCCGGGCTGTGGCGGAGCGACGTCCGCTCGTCGGGATTTCCGCCTCTCGAGTGTCCATGTTTCTGAGTATTGAATGGCGAATGGCCGTGGAAGAAGTTGGCGGCGATGCGGTTTTCACTCTTGCTGGCATTGTTTTGGGGGCTGCCGTTGGCGCGATTGATGGCGCGGGAGACGGCCTTGACGTACTTCTTGCCGGCCTTGTAGTTGAGGTACTTGATGCGCCATTCTATTTGAGATAATTGTCAGTAAGAGTAGAAGAATAGCCGAGAAGCCATTCGCAGAGAGACAAGGGCGGCGCGCACCTGGTACGAGGTCCTGCTCGAGCTCCTTTGCGAACTTCATGACGTAGTGGCGCCCGTTGCGCAGCGCGGCCTGAGTAAAAGGTACAGGAAAACAGCGTTTACCCAACGAATGGAAGAGGCAACGCCATGTAAACTCTATGAAGTGTATTGAAGTAGGAGCATGTGTGTATTTCAGAGTACTGTCGAGTTTGTTCCAAGGAGTTGAGTCGCACAGCCTCGTTCTCAGGTCGGCCCTTGTTTTTGTCGACGGGGATGGGGGAATTCAAGGTGTTTTGTTTTAGTCTTGTTTTTTCTTCGAGGTGCGCGCTTGGACGAAGCGTTCGCCTGCAACTTTTGGGCAGCCAAGCTTTTCGTTGCATCGCTTTTCAGTGCTTGCAGCTGCCAATTGCCCCCCGCCTTTTCTTTCGTCTGGTGTTCCGTTCCCTCAACTCTCATGTCTTATCGTTATCTGATTGCCCGAGTCAGTCCCAAACTGTCGATAAGGTACCAGTAACGGCTGTCGCCAATCGCAATCCAGTGTTACAGCACGTCTTTGCTATGACTGCCGATACCCGGCGCTGAAGGTCGCTGTATCCCGGGCTCTGGTGTTACCTAACGGTACCTGATAACGCTCGTCCCAGGCGACGGGAAGGTAAACTCAATTGACAAGACCCAAAAACGGTGTTGCTTAGGTCAGCTCGGAAAACGCGCCCCGAACGGTACGAAATACTTCCACTTACCCTGTAAATGCCGTGTAACTGCCATTGCTTTTCCTCGCTGCGTCTTGTGATCCCTTCATCTTGACGTCTGACCACCCTTCTCAACCTCCCTGCCGACTTTCCATTAATGTGTCATTACAATGGGCTCAGCGGTCGGGGACACCATAGCTCTATGGATTTTCCTCGAACCTCTCACTTATGCCACTCAACAAGACCCATCTTGCGCGTACGAATTGTCTCATTCAGAGAGCACCATGATGAGACCTCGGATCAGAGTTCAAGGGGTTCATCCGACCTCAGCAATGCATCTTTCAGGGTCCTGGACTGTCACGCTACCATCGCCATCTGGCACTGCTCTTCCCTGGTCACATCTTGGCTCGATCTGGGCTCGGGATAGACGGCCTGCTGATATGTGACTTGTGCTGCAACCAACTAGCAGACAAGGACCTCCCGCCTGCATACATGAAGCATCCATGACCCAGTCACGCCAGCAGTTTCCTAGACGCTCTGGCTCCAGAGATATTGCCTGAATGGCCTCATGCGAGTCCACCGCTGTGTCAAGCAGCCTGTTGATCACAATCGGACTTTCTTTCCCAGACACAAAGGATGGACACATGTTCACGACGGGGAGACGGCGAGGAGCTGTGGCTCAACGACCCATGCAGTTTTCACGATACGACGCCCTCAGCCGTCTGAAGAAGGGCAGACTAACCATAAACCGAGACTTGGCCCTTTCCAACATGCAGACTTCCAACAAGCACTCAATACGGCCCGCCCATCGCCAACTTGCAGCAAACCAATGCACGGGTCGTTGGGCTGTCTCGACCCATTCGATCCTCTGGGCGCTTTCTGCCCCCAGTGGTCTCCAGTGCACTCCACGCATGTCGACGCGGCCGGGCGGAGCTGTCGTCAAGGATAAGCCTCGATGCCCTGCACTTCACCACATCGGGCAGCCCGTCGACCGGGCGGCCCTCCCCCAGTTCCCCGGGGCAAGGCAGCCTAAGCCTAGGTCCCCAGGACTCAGGAGGCCAAGGTCACAGAGGGTGTACGCTGTATCGAATGGTCCACTTGACGCGGTTGCGTCGAGAGGACATGGGAAGTCGACGGATACTGAGGAGAAAAGAACGCTGTCGACGGGAGCCGGGCCAATAGTCGATTCCCTTGAACGCCTTCGGGGCCGCCATGGGCAGGGCCAAGCCTTTCAACGGTCTGACGGCGGCTCATCATCAACTACCTACTCCAGTGCACGGAGTATTCACACATCTATATCCGCATGTGCCAACGGCGAGGTGGCAATGACAGCTTGACGCCATGCAGCCTGCACATGCAACGGGCGTGATCTCACCAGAGGTATTGGCTTCCAAGTTGCAGCTGCACGCAAGGCCGTTGCCCTTTGAACTCGCTTAGATCCAGGAATGTCGAGGGCGGAAAAACATGCGATTTCTATCCGCGAGATACATACACACACACACACATATACACACACACACACATATACACATACGGCTGTGTCATGCTCACGAGGCGCGGGATCACCCAGGCCGAACCAAGACATTTCTTGCCTGTTTCGGCGCCTCATTCCCGGGCAAAATTGTCACATTCGCCGACGAGCATCACTCACTCATCTGATTCGATAGTACTGGCCACCTTCTGAGCTGTGAAGATAGCTGCAGACTCATAGCTATTCCGTTGCCCAGTATCTCGACATAAGAAGCTACAGGTGACCTGGCTTATAAGTGGGCGCGATTTGTGGGCTTCAAGGGGGGCACGGTCTCGCCCCCGACTTCGCGGTGACACCAACCATGAGTTCGCAAGTTGAGCAAGTTGTCACGGTCGTCAAGTCTCAAGGACTAGAGAGGCGAAGCGAACACAACCGATGATCTTTGTCTCACCACGGGAAGCGATCCGCAATGAATCCCGCGCCAACTCGCCCCCTTTCGTCAACAAGGTACGCGATCCTATCGCTGTGACAGCGCCTGCAGCGAGATGGCAGCTGCGCGGTCTCAACGTGCCCTGTGTGCACATGGAAACGAATGTGCGGCAGACAGCGGAGACTCTCCCTTTGGGTACCAATTTTGTTTGGATCTGGTTGGGCTGGTTGGTTCGTTGGTTGTAACTTTTTTCCCTTTTCTATCTGTTGGAACTTGGGGCTTTGGAGACGAGCTCCCCAATATGGGACAAGATGGACCCCATGTGCCGCATTATCGCATACGCCGCATTCAGTCCGCCCAACCCCATCACAAGGAAGAACCGGTCGCATTCAGAGGGTGGGCTCTTTTTGTTAGGAAGATCCTGGGCAATCTTTGATTATCCTTGCTTTTTATGTACGAATCGGCGCATCTTTCTTTATGGAGGGGGAGAGATGGGGCGTGCCATGGCCCATGGGTAATGTGCAAGGCGTGTTTGTTCCTTTTCCCTCTCCGTAACAACCCCCGTCAAGTTTGCTCGAAGTCCCAAAACTGCAACTCTGGTTGGGCGAAGGCGAGGGCTTCTTTACCAAGTTACCGGGTCAGTTGAACATCCCACAGCCTTGATTGGTTCCATACGGCTTGCCTCGAGGGTGCAAGTAGCTATCCGAGACACTGCGAAGCAAACAACCCATCTATATCTGGTCTGGCTTCCCTCTTAGCCCCCCAGAGATACCCTTGCCTTGCCTGTCCTCACGTCCTCTTCTTGCGTCTCTCCACACTCTCTTGTTGAGAATCAAGACTCTTGAAACGACGATACCTCTTCGACCTCTCTTGATCCCTCAACTCCATACTGTACGCCAGACCACCAAGATGACGCTCGAAACCGAGACTACGAATCTTGATGAGGCTATGGATCAGCCAAGTCTCTTACATAGAGCCTCTCAGAAGTGCCTGCGGGTTCTCAGAAAAGCCTCAATGAGAGAAAAGTCACGGCCTGACGACAAGTCAAGTACTAGCGGAAGATCTTTGGCCAGCAGATCATCGTTCAGGTCATCGTTCTCAACGTCATCTCTGTTCACGACGAAAACTATAGAGGAGGATCGTATGACCTTGGACCGGCCCATAGCAGAGGAACCTATAAGGGAAGAAGTCAGCTGCGATGGAAGCAACTTGAACGAAAACCCCGCCGACGAAGAGTTTATGCAACAAGCGAGTTCAAATGCACCGAGGAAAGAGCATCACCAGGGCCAGTCGACCTTCTTTCGGCAGCTGCCCCCCGAAATCCGGCATCAGATATATAGACATTTCTGGGTCTCGGCCGGGGTCGAACGACATGCTTTTCTACGAAATAGGAAACTCTTGTTCTCTCCCTGTATCACAGATCATGAAGCGCCTGATGAGCGTCAAATCGGGGTCGCCAAAGACTTCCAAAAGTCCTCTTCCACAGCGGAGGTCCAGCCTCACCCGAAATGGTTCAAAAGGATGACGTCTTCTTGGTGTAATCACTGGAAATGCGAGAGGTTATGGGAGGACATACGAGACGGACGCGAAGTAGACGGGAACAAGAAGCAAGCTTACATGTCTCTTCTCCTGTCCTGTAAGCGGATGTGAGCTTACCCTCCTCTCCCTGCCCCGACGAGCAGTCCACTAATCATGGCTCCCATTAGATACGACGAAAGCATAGAGTCCTTTATGGAAGCCAAAACCCTAACAATAACCGACGGTCAAACCCTCCACCGCATTCTCCGCTGGCCCCGTCCCAAGTACCTCCATCAAGCTCGCCGCCTCAACATCTCCCTCCGCCACGACAGCGGCAATTTTCTTTACCTCAACGGCGCCTCCATGTGGCACATACTCTCCGAGCAGGAATCGTGCCAGGCGGAGAGCATCTACCTCTGGCTCGACGCCGACTGCCCTGTCACACGTCGCCTGCTGCCCGAGTTCCGCGAGCTGTACAACTGTGTACCGCCATCCGTCGCGGCCCGCTTGACTATTGATTTCCCCTGTGACGCCGAAGACGGGTTCTGGGCGTGGGAGGACGGGGTGGAGGTTGAATCGCGGGAGGGCGGTGGACAGCTGGAGAGGTTGGGTCCGCTGGTGCCTGAGTTCCGGGTCGTTGCGAGGGGGCGGCAAAGGTTTAATGAGACTTCGGCCGGATATGTTAGTTGCGTTGATCGGGGGAGCCCTAGGAGGAGAGTCTTGAGGGCGAGTAATCCGTTTGAGGATATTTTGCTCTATGGGAGAGGATTCGTTGATGGGTCATACGTCTAGTCGAAATTATGAGTCCATCACCGGTATTGATAGAGGCTACTGGGAGTTCTAATCTATGATTCGAGGACGAAAATTGCACCAAGGCTAAACTAGTATGTTTCTGTCGGAACGAAAGCTTACTGAGAACCCTGAGCAGGATGGATCTAGCTCATTGCCCGAAGTGAACGAGAACTGCGATCTAGTCCCAGATTTCAACGCCATCTTTTAACTACTCTACCTTGCACCACGAATTCTCAGTCAATAGACATTTGTCACCTTGAGCTACTTCAAAAACACAGTCATCATCCATTCGACACGACACCAACAGTCTACGTTCAGGGACTATTCAACAGATGGCTAGACCTATGTAGTCGTCATTGGCTTCCTTCCATGGATAGACCAACTACTCAAGTTAGCTCAATGATAAGCCGGATAGTAAGAATAACCCACATGTTATAGTAAGCATGAATGTTCCTGTTCGCAAAGTCTTTCCGAGCCTCCATGGCGAGGATAATGACCTCTTCTTTCGTCCAGTCGAGAGCTCGGGTCAGCGGCGCCATAAGAAAGCCCTCCCAATTAGGAGCAAAGTTCTCGTAGTTCCAGATTCCAATCTCCTTGTGCTTCTTATCCTTGGGCCAACTGTTGGTGGGCCATTTGAATCGCTGGATGTGCACGTCTTCGAAGCCAATCTCCTTGAGAACGCCCTCGAAACGGCTGAAATGCTCGTAGGGCACCCCTAACTTGGCGATCGCTTCGCAGCAGAGACGAACGCTTTTCATCAGCGAGGTGTCCTCCGTGAGGGTCCCGTCGTCTGAGACGGGTACGGCGTCGATGTCGTTGAGCTCAAGGTAGCCGCCGGGGTTGAGGTTACTAGGATCATTTCTCAGCGTTCACAACTGTCCAAGAGAGACGTGGGGCTCACTCGAAGCAGTTCTGGAGGAATCGTCTCCAGTTTCTGATGCTGCCCGTCATCATGCGACTATGGATGTAATCGAAAGGCCGAGAGAACAGCCACGGCTCCTCGATGTCGTCAATTTCGAACTGCACATTCGGTGGCACGCTGAAATGCACTCATCAGCTGAGAGCTTCACTTGGAGGAAGCACCCTTCTCCCTACAATAGAGGCTGTATCGCCGATAGATCAACACCAATGACCTGTAAAGGAAATTAGCTTGTGTGAATTCTCTTACTGATACTGATAAGATAAGTCCTCCTACCTCGGATTCTGGGTGTTCGTCGCCAAAGTCAATGGCCCAGATTCCGGATCCGGTGCCGATGTCGAGAACTCTGCCGACCTTTGCGTCTCGATCGTTTGGTGGCGCACTACCGAGTCGATCATCAAACGTCCGGATGAACAAATTGTGTTGAAGGTCTGGTGCGGTCGTATCAGTCTCATTCTCGTTAAACTGGAGGCATGTACTAATAGCATCAGTCTAATGAGCAGATGACGTACCAAGGCGATCACTTTCCCTCTCGTCGTTAGGGGCGGCGTACTCTGGTAAGACCATTAGCATATTGTCTGATTGTTTCATTCTTTGTGGAGACCTCAAACTCACTGCCGTCCTTATACTTGTGGTAGGTTCGCCCATTTTCAATACGATATTCCAGAATAGAACTGGTCACACTTGTTGTAGACGAAGCCAGGCTTGCCTGTTGGAGCAAAGATGAGTTCATAGTGTATATTGCTGAGGGATCAGTAGTGAGGCGTAGTAGTTGCTTACATTGCTCACCGATGAGCCATCGGTGTCAGTCTGGAAGGGAATACAGTCTCAGAATATGGAATCTTTACACCTTTTCGAGCACTTGAAAATTCGCGAGAAATCATACCTCGTCAGCCGCCAGATGTTCATCATTCGGTGTTTGCATCGTATGGCTTATGTCTCTGGTAGTGGAATGGCCTGATGGATTCTAGAGATAAGAGTGATTTTGCTATGTGTTGAAGAATTCCGTGGGGTTCCAAGGAGGAAGTGGGAAGAGGTTCCACTGAAGAAGCGGGAGCGAGTGAGTATCGGTTCATTCGGCAAGGTAGCATGCAATATCTGCTCTCCATTGCTACCCCTCTTCCGCTAGGTAGACGAGAAAATGTAATGTTCGATGTCACCCCTTGGTTGGTCGTGGGTGTGCATATCACCCCTGCAACTAGGAACAAATGCATGCGACTATGCGCCTTTGCGGCGTAGATGCCAAGCCTAGTGTTAGAAAGGCCACACACCGAGGTTGCGATGGTGGCTATCTATGTTGAGCAAACCGAAATCGAAGCCAACTTATTCTCCAAGTTGAGATCACCGCCCCCGCACATAAGGAGAGAGAACAATTCTAGGTCCAAGAAATCTTCTCAAGTTGGAGCCCACGTTTTCTATTCGACACCCGTAGAGAAATGAGATTTCTCGCCCATTGTAAGTTGAATCCTCAAGCCTTCACGGGCTTCTTCCCATAGATGGACCAGCTATCAAACTTAGTCATACAAATATCACGCTATCAAGCGAGCTCACTTACATCTGGAAGTAAGCACGTATGCTCGTATCGTCGAAGTCCTTTCGCGCCTTGACAGCAAGTTCGTGAACCTCCTGCTCGGTCCACTTCAACCCGCGGGTAATCCCAGCCATGAACATGCCCTCCAAGTGTGGCGCAATATTTTCATGATTCCAGATCCCCAGCTCCTTGAACTTGGGGTCTTTTGGCCAGCTATTCGTCGGCCACTTGAACCGCTCAACGCGAACGTCCTCGAACCCGACCTCGGCCAGGACGCCTTCTAGGCGGTTAAACTTCTCAAACGGAGACCCGAGGGTTGCGATAGCTTCGGACCAGAGGCTGAAGCTCTTCTTAAGGGTGCATTCCTCGGTGAGGGTGCCGTCATCGGAGAGGGGGATTGCATCAATGTCGTTGAGTTCGAGGTAGCCTCCTGGGTTGAGGTTGCTGCGAGAGTTACGTGTGTTAGACGGTGGAGATGCTTTGTGCGTGTTTGTAGGAAGGAAGATGTGGGCAGAACTCACTCGAAGCAACGGCGGAGATAGATCTTCCAGTCTGCGATGCTACCCGTCATCATTCGGCTGTGGATGTAGTCAAAGGGCAGCGAGAAGTGCCAGTCCTCTTCGATATCTTCGACCTGGAATTGCACATTTGGCGGCACGCTGTAGTGCAATGTTAGTTTTTGCATCAGAGACATGATAGTTAGTGTGGACTTAGGGAGGTTCATACAATGTTGGCTGAACAGCTGATAGGTCGACGCCAATGACCTGCGCATTGAGCGGTTATCACCTGTAAGACCTCATTCCGTGACCCAGTCTACGACTTGCCTCGGCATCGGGATGCTCATCACCAAAGTCGATTGCCCAAATACCCGAACCGGTGCCCACGTCCAAGACCCTCCTGACGTTAGAGTCTGGTGCGTTGGGTGGTGCGGTTCCTAGTCTGTCGTCGAAGGTCCGGATGAAAAGGTTGTGCTGTAGATCTATTCCCCCGCGTGCTAATCAGTACCTAGAACTTGACCTCGATGTGTTGTTTTGAGGGAGAGCCTTACCGAGTCGATTGATTTCTTTACCGTCGTTGGGCAGATTGTACTCTTGTCTTGTGAGTGATGCTGCAGCATAAAATTAGTTGCGTCCGAGAGCTTACTTCCGTCTTTGTATTTGTGATACGTCCGGCCGTTCTCGATGCGGTACTCGAGAATTGAGCTGGCTACGCTTGTTGTCGATGAAGCGAGACTTTGCTGTTCGATTATGAATGAGTTCCATGACAAACACGCTGATGAGGAAATAGGCATGGTCGCTGGCTTACATGGCTCACGGAGGAATTGTCGTTGACATTCTGTTAAGGAGACAAAGAATTAGTATCGGCATAGATGGCTGAGCGTTGACATATCATCCCACCTCATTTGCCGCCAGTACATCATCTTTATCAACTGCCATGGCTGTGCTGAACCGCTCAAGAGCTGAATATTGCGAGCCTCTGGGATGCCGAAGGCGCGGGCCTTATCAAGTTGGTGGGGGCGTTGCGCTGAAGATATAGGAGTCAACCTGCATCTCGCATCATATCATTGCTCTCCGACCTCGGGGATTTGCCCCCATCAAGAGTTGCCCTTCGCCCTTCCCCTCTTCTTGTCAGACAACAAATGCATGTTGGTTGTGAACATGCCCTCGATTCTGCACCTCGACCCTGGCACGTCCGGTGACAGGGACTGGCTGCATGGAATAGCATTTGGCGAGCGGCACGGGCAGTACCGGGCGGCTACGCGGCTTGCATCCGCAAACCCTCGTTCCGCACCCGTAACTTGACACTCCCATCTTTATGGACTCGCATTAGGGTATTATACACTCAAAATACTGTGCTATCAATTCACACATGGCTCGTAAAACTCTTTCATTCATTTTCGTGCGGAGTTCCAGGAGTCCAGAGAATTCCACTTCATTCTTCTTGAGTTCTGAAGGGTGTGGGACAAAAGGTGCCTGGGCATGAGATGGTCTCTAAGAAATGCATATGAGTTTGGTCGTGGTAAATACATGGTGAATTGGGAAGTCATTATTGAGCCTTGAAGCTGTGATAGCAATTAAGTCAAAGCAAAGTTAAGTGGTGGCATCTTACGGGGGGAATGATAGTCGGCCGACATTCTTATGTTTACCTCAGTAAGGATACGAAAAAATAGTATCCACAGGTTCGGCTTTCTAGATCGCCGACAGATTTCTAGAGAACACAAAAATTGATTATTCGTAGGCTACAACTCAGTATAAGCTATCATTGTAGGCCAAATTGGGATTATCGAGTTTTAGTTCCACTCTTAGTCTTCGAGTCTCAGTGAAGGTCTTAATCTCGATGTGTCAAGTGGCACAACTCCGCATTCGGCTTGGCTTCCGAAGTCTTGGTTGCTATGCGAACGATACGAGCACTGCCTCGCGGAGCTCCATCGGCTTTAAACACCGTCCACCCATTTCTTCGGCCGGCGTCAACGTCAGCATCAGCGAATGGAGGCTCGGAATCTTGGAATTCCCCGCCCTTCCGACTTCCCGCCAATCTTGGATCATAAACTCGAGATCTATAGAAAACCTGCTGAGTGGGTGTGTCTGCTGCCGGTAGATCTCACCTCTCTTTCAGGTAACATCACATAGGTGCTTCCAGGGGTTCGTCCGCGACTTCGGATAAGAACCGGGCCCATATCCGGCACGGAAGTGTCAAGGAGCATCGGACGCGATGGAGGTCCTTCCGGAGCGGAGGATCGCAGCCAAAATTTCGAAGAAACCGCACAGAAAATCCAAGCTTGGATGCCACACTTGCAAGAGACGTAAAATCAAGGTTCGTCTGATGATATACTGCTACCCTGCACGCCATCTCTTCTTTTAGTGATGGATCCTTGGGCTCTACTGGGCTTAGTATCGTCCATGCACCAGACCACAACACCTCGGCCGAATTCACACAACATGACCCATTCGCGCACCTAATATCCTTGACACTGGTTTACCTGCTAATGCTGGATTCCTATAGTGTGACGAACTGAAGCCAGCATGTCAAAACTGCGTGCGTCACCTGGTGACGTGCGACTTCCTGCAAAGTCGCTCGATGGCGATATCGATGCGCAGCATGCAAATCACCTTGCAAACAAGCCTTGACGCCAGAAGCGCAGACGACCTAGAGACATCTATCAGACCGGCGCCAGCTATCGACCAAGCCCTAAACTTTGTCGATTTGGAGCTGATCCACAACTTCACTACCGCCGTATTTATGACACTATCAACAGATGACCTCGTCCGCCAGATGTGGCGAGTCTCGGTAGTCCGCATGGCGCTTAAATGCGAGTATGTCATGCGAACTTTGCTCTCCATATCGGCTTTACATCTAGCCCACCAGCGGCCAGAACGAAAGGAGGCTCTCGTGGCTAAGGCCCTTCTTTATCATCGATCAGCCTCAAGAGAAGCAATGGAGTTGATGAGCGCTCTTGATGAACGAAATGCCGAGAACTTATTCTTGTTCTCACTTCTCACAATATTTTTCGGTAAGTGACCACTACGTGATCGGATCACGAAATGAATTGTTGCACCTCGTTTTCCCCTTCCTATCTTGTAGTCAATTCGAGATTTCGCCTGCACGGGCAGTACGCTTGCTTACGAAACTCAGCTCTGGCATCGGGACGCTATCTGAAGGAATCAGTGGTTGTCTGGGAATCCGCGTTCCCGGACTGGACATTCCTCCTATCCGGAGCTTGTTCTCTCATCAAACTCCTCAATTCGAAAAAATACGAGGGTCCCTTGACCCCTCTGTTGACATACGCAAAAGAACGATTCTTTACTGCGCGTGATGACTTGCGAGCTCGACCAGCCGCCTTGGAAAGTCTACGAAAGCGTGTCAGCAGCAGCAATATTGACAAAGAATTGCTACGCATCCACAATTTGGCCATTGACGAATTAGGTTACCCTCTTTCTCTTGCTCTGCACAGTGGAGGCCGTGGTATGGACATCATGGATATGTTCATCTGGAAATACTTCGTGTCGGATGAGTTCCTACCTTTACTTAAAGAGCCGAGGGCGAATCAAGAGGCCATTGTTATTTATGCCCACTTTTGTGTTGTGCTAAAGAGATTAGAGAGTCAGTGGTGGCTTCAGGGCTGGTCGATTCATCTTATATCACAGGCGTGGGAGTTGCTAGATGAGAGCCACAAGCCTTGGATCCAGTGGCCGATGGAGGAGCTAGGATGGGTGCCCCCAAGCTAATCATAGGGAATAACGTCATGAGCTATGGGACTTGGGAGCCAGATTATGAAGATGAAACGGGTACCAAGCCGAGTAGTCGTAGCTTGTGTAACTATGGCGGCATCATGTAGGCGAGGCTGTCACCACAATCTTTGCGGAACCAGCAATGTAACCGCTCAACAAGGAGACATGTTGATAACTCAGTTGCACACAGAATAACCAAAAATCCGTGAGCGCGGTATAATAGCGAATGCTGTGCCAGTTAAGGGGTTTACGGAATATACAATCAAGCACCACACACTGAGGAGCTAATGAGGAGTTACGATGCCTCCACTCTTTACGGCAATCAATTCCCTCGTATCGCATATCTTCCAACCTTGTTCGGCTAGGACGCCGCATATTCGAAGGAGACACCTGCTAAGCCGTCCATTTCTCTTATGATTCAACGGGAAATCATCGAGAACCACGTCCTTTTATCTTCCTGCAAGCAGCTCCATTTTAGGGCAAGCAGTCGCTCTGCTTCAGCCTGATACGCGGAAATCAATACCCTCATAGTTACCCCGAGACATTGATTAGTTTTCGTCCCGTTCCCTGCACCAACGGCCGATAGTGGAAGAAGCAAGCTCAGTCATCAGTGTTACCCAAGTTATTGCTTAAATAGGCAGGTTCTATCGTGCTTCTACAGTTGGACGAAAGGCCGTCTTGGCAGCGCTTGGCATACTAGCAGTAACAAGCAGTTGAATTAATACAGTGCAACCACACACCGCTAGCGCTAGTTGTGAAGCTTGTCTGCCATTCGACCAACACCAAGACTCATCCCACGTCTTCCGCCCGGCCCCTCATGAAGGCCAGGTTGATCAACAGATCAATTTAAGCTTATCGGTCGAAGCCGGCGCCCGACCGTATCACGACGAGCATATTGTCCCCCTCAGCCTGATCGCTTCATGCAAGGAGAGAACCTCTGCCGGGCCACAGGACAAGTCCCCACACTAATCTGACTCTCTCTCGCTTGGCTATCAATAATACTAACTTGATCACAGAACAGAGAAGGTAGCAGATATCGAACCCCGCGGTTTCCACGGGTGCTTTTTTGGAAACCCCGACTCAACCTCAGCTGCAACTGAGTCTTGGTATCAGCCAGATGAGGAAGGCGTATGAAGCAATGGAAAGACAAGTCTCGGGCTCGTTTCCGGTTTCCTTCTATCAGCTGACGCGCCTTTTTACTTTTGTAGTACAGTTGCCATTGGGCTTCCTGTTAGGGGATCGTTCCAAGCCGATTCAGCTCGCTGCAACGTATCAGGCAACTTTCAGAGCCCCGAGAATAGAAGCCCAACAACGACAAGATGACTTACATCAAGAGAGACTTAGGATCGAGTATATATAGCCTAGATCTCTTGCCATCAAGGTTCCCCTTCTTAGCTCGACATCCCTCTCAGTCTCGCAACTCCTATCCAAGTCGCCTGTTCGCTCCCCGGTCCCCGGCTCACTCTTGTCAATATGCACTTCAACCTCGCCCTCGTCGCGGCTCTTGCCGCCTCCGTTTCTGCCGCGGTCACCCCCGCCGTTAGATTCGGCTGTGCCACCGAGGAGCCGTCCGCCGAGCACATCGAGATCTCCAAGAAGCTTGCTGAGGAGGAGGCCGCCAATAATGGTACTGTCAGCCTGGCTGCTCTGGCCACCATCACCGTTCCTACCTACTTCCACATCGTGGCTTCCTCCCAGACTGTGGCCAATGGATACATCACCGTAAGATCTCTTAGCTTCATAGCTTCATGTTCTTTCTCCAGCTTCACTTTCAGCACGTTTCACAGAGGACGGTCACTTACATGGGATATGCGTGTAGGACAAGATGGTCACCGACCAGTTGGCCGTGATGAACTCCAACTTCGCCCCCCACGGCATCCAGTTCAACCTGGTCGAGACTACTCGTACCATTAACTCCGCCTGGGCCGGCTACAGCAGCCAGACCGCCATGAAGACTGCACTCCGCAAGGGTGACTACGGCAGTCTCAACCTGTACTTCCTCAAGAGCGTCGGAGGTGCTTTCGGAATCTGCACGTTCCCTACCACCGCCTCCCCCGGCTCCTCCGCTTTCATCGCCGACGGCTGCACCATCCTGTCGTCCACCGTTCCCGGCGGAAGCGAGACCAACTTCAACCTCGGAAAGACTGCCACCCACGAAATTGGTCACTGGTTCGGTCTGTACCACACCTTCCAGGGCGGTTGCAACGGTGGAGACTCCGTTGCCGATACCCCTGCCCAGGCTAGCTCTTCTTCCGGATGCCCTGTCGGCCGTGACTCTTGCCCCAGCATCGCCGGCCTCGACCCCATCCACAACTACATGGACTACTCCTACGAGTAAGTTACTACCCCGCTTAGAATCAAAAAAGCTTCTTGCTGACGTATGAAACAGCTCTTGCTACGAGGAGTTCACCGCTGGCCAGCAGACCCGCATGCTGAGCTTCTGGAACAACTACCGCGCCTAAGCTGTCCGCGTTTGCGCACCTAATTGACTTGGACACTGGCACGATATAACTACAACATACACCATGTAGCGTCTCTTATGTGTATGTAGTTTGAATCCAAAGTTGTGCCTAAAAGAGCCTGAACTTCACGTTGTTAAGTTCTGTCTTCAAGCCTCAGACTATTGTCTTGCGTCCAGAATTACGGGGTTCCCGATGACCTCACCTTGTTCGTCGATATCATTGCAGAGTTCAACAGTAGACTTTAGGAGTTTTCTGAACAGGGAAGAGCAGAGGCAGCTTGTAAGTTGCATGCCTCCTAGACAGGTGCTCTACGCAAGTTCTTCGCGTTTTGATCCACACCTTCTAAGTTACTTGAGGCTTTATCGCATCTTTTTGAATCACACAATATGAACTGCCGACGGAAGCTACTAAGCGCATTGAAATATTTGGCATCAATTTCCTTGAAGACTAAATGTCATTCATGGCTTGTTTAGGCTTTAGCCTACGGATAACTGCAACCTTGTCCCTGGCGTGCCATTCTCAACTCTCCACTTGCCTTCGAACTCTTTCCTCGACCGTACCGTGATAGGAATCGGCTCAGCAGGAGAATGCAACGCTACAAAGAGACCTTCAACCTTGGGCATTCTCCACTCCCTTCCAGATGGGCCTTCGCCCTTGAAATCTGGCGCAATTTCAAAGTCGAGTTTCAAAGTCATCAACGCAATCAGCGTCATAGTACCAGTAGTCGCAAACCACCGTGCAGGACAGACGTGAGGTGCCACGCCCCAAATGGGAAAGGAGTGAGGTGCCAAGTCCCCTGGAGAGGCTACGCCCGGCGCATCAGGCTTCTTCTTCATCTTTATGAACCGGTAGGCATCAAAGGAGGTAGCGTCTGGACCCCACGTTTCCTCGTTGCGGAGGATTGGAATGCCGTTGATCTGGACATAGTTGCCGCTTTTGAGGAGCTGAGTCTTATCGTCTACAGTGATTGTCGTGTCGCGAAGAACCTCTCGGATGTGTGCGTGGATGGTGTGCAGGCGCTGCGCCTCCTGAATCGAGGACAGTAGTAGCGGACATGCCGACTTGATTACGGAGATGTCCAAGCTGAACTCGCCATTTTCGTCCTTCTTGACTGCCTTGCGTACTTCGTCGCGGATCGCATCGACAAGCCACGGGCGAGAGAAGACCTCAAAGACGGACCACCACGTTGTTGGGACGTAGTTGGCCAGCATAGCAATGTCAAAGCCAATATTGATACGCCCAATATCGCGCGGCGATACTCCGTTTTCGGCCATAATCCGTGATCGACCCTTTAGAAGGCCTGAGGCTGTCTCTGTGCCCCCAAGGCGAACATATTCTTCGTACCGTAGACCGTTACGTTCCCGAGCTTGCATTGCCTTTTTCGCGAACAGCTCTGCAATGATACCTCCCGGAAGAAGCAAGTGTGCCTTATCAGCGAAGGTCCTGTAGATTGTCAGCTTCTCATCTAGAACTCAGTCCCCTCACACGAAGTCGTCAAGGGTTATCAGAAAGTACGTACCAAAAGTCAGCCTCATGATCAGGATTCTTGAAGGGGTTCAGAGGGCCGAACATCCCTTCCGTAGCTGATAGCCCAACGGTATGCTTCACCCAGGCGAATAGATCGATCGGAACACCTGTTTCGGGTGATTCGAGGGCATTTGCGGCTAATTTGTCAACAATTTCGAGTTTCACCTGGGTTGCAACGAGGCTCATATCATCGAGCTCGGGACCAGCTGCCAGCGTCGTGCGCTGGACTCTATCGAATTCCTTGGCCTCGGGGCCACCTCCTAGGTGATCTTGCAAGTTGGTGGCCTTATCATCGGCACCGCTAAAGTTGTGAGCCGCCTTGGCTGCAAAGGGCGCAAAAGAGATTGTCCTAGCATTGCGCTGGATCGACGAGATGAATTTGCGTTCTGCGATAATGTAGAATTTGAAGGAGAAGATGGGTGCAGAAAAGATCTTTAACTTGGCGTCGGCCCTGTCGTATCATGTCAGCCATAGGATCACTTAATCCCGAAATCAAACAAGCGTGAACTTACCCAACCTTGGTAAAGTAGTTGCCAGAGCCGTACTTGTTCAGACCAAGAAGATGACCAATTAATGGTATGCGAGGTCTGATGTACTCTGGCTCTTGCGGATTTTTGGAGAGGAAGAAAAAGGACTCGAGCAAATAACAGCCGATGACGACAACCGCGAAGGCCGTGCCGGCCAGCGCAGGGAGCTCCATTTTGCAATGTTCTAGCCGTAAAATCAGTCGCGAAGAGAATGAGAAACACCAGAAAGCCAATAGGGACAATCGGGGTCATATATCAAAACCTTCGACCTGCCGCAGATCCTTCAAGGGGCCATTCGTAATCGTATTGGGAGTTCGGCAGTCGGCTGTCAGCATCCTAAACCCTGTCAGGCATCGAGGATGCTCACTGATATCCCACTAGAACGTCTACACGAAAGCTGCATTTAGTTACTCCACAAAGCAGGGGTTGCGCTAGTTCGATTACGGGGCTGCTATAGACTAAGGAACCAGTCGAAATCGGTAATTGCGTAGGATTGATTGGCTTGATGGACCGCCAATCTAATGTCTCACGTCAGAACTTTCGAAATGGCTGAATCCCCTTAACAGGCAACTGATATGGGATGAATCGAAATCCGGATTCGCACATAATTCTGTAGCTACGTGAGTGACTTGCCGTAAGTGCGTGTCTCGATGGTCGTCGAGTACTCGAGTCGAACACTAAGACTGTAATGTACAGGCCCTTCGGGACATTTCGCTTATAGACGATGTGACTCTCAAACTTCCGTCACGGTTTCCGCGGTTTCCACAGGCTGGTTGTTAGTTTCGCAGCAGTAACCTCTGGCCGCAGCGCCAGCAAATTGTGTAGCTCGTAATCCATGTGAACCCAAGTAAGCTTGCGTCTTGCATCACCCTAATTATATGGATACTTATAAGATACTAATCCATCATTCAGGTGTTAGAATAAGATATGACTGGAAGATAGGAATTTCAACTATCGATGTCTAGCTACCACCTGCCTCTCTGCGTAATCTTCAACCAGAAGTCATGCGTTATCCAGAATCCAGCACTCCACAATCTCATCGGCTTTTCAGGCTTTGCAATAGCAAAATCGTACCTGCGCAGAAGCTGCAGGTAAAGACGTCAGCAAAGTTTGATACAATAAAGAAAAAAATAGGACCTTACCTCAACGAAGATCTTGTTCAACTCCATCAACGCAATATTCCTCCCCATGCAATAAAACTTGCCATACCCAAAAACCATGTCGATAGTTGACATCATCGCCTTATATCTTCCTTCATCATCGGACATTGCTGCCTCTATCCACCTCTCTGGCCTGAACAGATGTGCGTCAGGTCCAAAAATGTCCTTCGATCGGCCGATGCTGCACACGTTCTCTCCCAGTTGTGTATTAGGGGGCAACCGATATCCATGGACGATGTCCCCTTCTGATGGGACCTGCTTGCTGACGATGCCAGTAGACGGTGGGTATAGACGGAGACCTTCGCGGATTACAGCTTGAAGATATGGCATGAATCTCGCTTCCGAATCTTTGATCGGAGAGCTAATCATCTTCTTCGAGACTAGTGTATCAATCTCGGCTCGGAGGGCTGTGAAGGCTTGCGGGTTGGATAGGAGTGACAAGAGAATCATACGGATCGCCGTTGCTGTGGTATCGGAACCAGCAATGCTATGGAAAGTCAGCTTCTGAACCTCAACCGATCAAGCCCTTCATGTGAAGACAGCACTCACGTTTCAACGTAAACTTCCTGTGTAAGCTCTTCTCTGGTCATACCAGCATTTATAAATGACTGGATCATGTCCCGGCCGGGCTTCGTATCCGGGGCCAACCGTCCATCAACAAAGGTTTTGGCAAACCTGAGCCAAGTATGTCAGTCTTCTGACTTACTCAAATGATCTAGGTGTTCAACATCCACTCACCCCATAAGCGCCCCAAATCCAGCTGCGTCTCCGGACTTTGGCAGCCCCAGATTGAGAGGCCAACTGTGCATAAGCGTAGCCAACCATGGCACGTTTCCCATAGTGATCATGACCGGAAAGAAGGCGTCTTTCGTGGCAACATACTGATACAGATCTCGATCTTCTTTCAGGAAGCCGTATGGGGTGCCGAAGCCAAGCTCGCTGATGACATCAAGGGCAAAGTAAGTTGATTTACTGGCCATGTCCATCGGTCTGAAGTCCTTTGCAGTGGAGATATACTTGCGGTCGATGAGGTCAACGAACGCGGTGATACTCTTATCTATGCCGGCTTCAAAGCCTCCGTTCTCCAAGCCCGAATACTGCGATTTCCAGTCAGCAAAGAGATTCTGACACACGCTGAGTACAGCGAAACTTACCCCAGGCCCCATTTTGCTCTTCAAGTACTTGCGCTTCTCTTCATCGCGCATCGAGAACAAATGATCCTCTCCCGGAGTGGTTCTTCCGACTGCATACCACTCGCCCTTGGTGTACTTACTGCGAGTGCCGGCGATCTTTTTCAACGTGTCTCCATCGCTGAACATGACGGTATTGGGACCGATACGAACCAAGGGGCCTTGAATTTTGGGTCAGCTTATCCGCCGCATCGGGCTTGAGATGTGGAAATGCTCCTACCGTATTTCTCATGCAGTTCCATATAGTACTCATGAACCGACCCATTTAATGCAGCTCGCGCCATCGAAAACCCAGTGATTCCATGCCAGAACGGCCCAGGGACATGGGACAGCCGATACCAAGAGTAGAATTCCTTCGCCAGCAGCCCCAAGAAGACTACGACGGCGAGTATCAGAACAACAGCCATCTTTTCGGTCGTGATATCCTCAAAAACTCGATGGATTTGATGGATATTGTAGATGTTGAAGAGTCAAAGTGAGGTTCTCTGGCAATGGAAAACGGCGGAGGGGTTGGAGTCTCAGCTGCTAGTTGAGAGCTACCTTAGTGCCATGTGCCAGCCATGCAGACGCCGCTTTCGGTGTAACCCCACGTCTCCAAAGCTTCAGGTCGTCACATTTCGCTTCTGAGCCGCTCAAGTGACACCTCATTTAAGACGCCTCGCTGACTAAAATGAGACGTTCGAGAGGACCACGAGACCTACCCGCCAGCCCAGGCCAAAAGAGGTAAAGCTGAACAAGATAAGATGGGATTTCCTGCCCTCGAAAACCGCCAGAAGAACCTCGACTGAACATCAGCTGACGCTTCTGAGTGTGCGCGCTTATCAGTTCTCCAGCCAAGCCAGGTCTTAAGAATTCCTTCGATACTGTAATCATGAGACCTGGTTCGACTAAGTTAGGTTGAGGATAAGATTCGAAAGTCTTGAGATAAGGTCCTCACAACAAATTGCAACAACAACATGAAGGGAGGAGTCTGGCATCAGTGCATCAATGCCTGCCGCCGACAAGGGCCAGAAAATCGATACAGGACTGGTTCGCCGCATTATCAACAGAAAGTTGAGTTATGAGTTTTCAGTCGAGATTTATTGCAGTTATAGTCAAGCTACCGCCAATACGTCCCTTTGGCCCAGCGACCCGAAAATTCCATATTAACCTCTCGATGCACACCGATATGTAATCGCCGTCCCCACTCAGGCATTTCATCCTGATGATTTCACACACAACCTCAATCTCGGCCCGAAGCTCACCGATCTTGGTCTCCTGTGCGCGCGCGAGCCTAGTATAGGCCAACGAGGATGTCACCTCGGACCCGAGCCGTGAGGTGAACCTCGGCTTCAAGGTCAAGCTTGATACCGACCATGAGGCCGGCGTCCTTGAGCTTGCCGTTGTCGTCAACGGGACCTTTGAGGAGGTTTCCTGCCGAAGTGTCGTATCAGTCTCTTGTTCATGGACTATGGGAAGAGTGTGAGATAGTAGAGGGGAAGACCTTACCGATGGGTCCGTTGGCGGGGCCGGAGAGACCGGGCATGGGGAGAGAGTTACCGAAGCCGCTGTTCTGGTTGTTGGTGTTGTTGTTATTGATGGACTTGGTGTTGTTAGTGTTGTTGAGAGACGAGTTGGGGTTGCTGGTGCTGAGAGAGTTGTTAGGGTAGCTGCTGTTGCTGGTGCTCGAGTTGAGGGGGTTGCTGGAGCTGGTGGTAGTGGTAGACGGGTTAGAGGTGGTGGTGCTGGTCGGGGGAACCGAGTTCTTGGTTCTAAAAGGGGAGCAAAATTCAATTGGTCGTGGGTTCGGACCTGTTGGGCTGTTGGTCATACTTACGGGGAAGACATGGTTGCGGTGGTGGTTGACCGGGGACGTGGAGGGGGTAATAGAGGTGGAGTGGATGGACGAGGGGTTGAAGGTCGAGGAGACGAAGGTCTAGGAGACGACGGGCGGGAGGGCTGCGAGAGCGAAGATGGCGGACGGGGCGAGGCCGGACGATCAGGAGAGGACGGTCGTGAAGAAGACGGCGATCCTAGGCTTCGTACGTGGATGAACTTGAGCGATGGTCTCTGGCGAAGCTCAGGCTTTTCAGGCGGTGGCTGCTGGTCCGGCGGAATCTTGTCGAGAGACTGCTCGGAAGGAGATCTTTTGCGAGAGTGCCTGGAGGCCGAGGTGCTATGAGACTGAGGAATCTTGGTGCTGCCGAGGAAGAAGACGGCCATGACAGCTGGGCATCTGCTTCCTCTTTTATCCTCTGCTCGACGGCCATGAAGTGAGACATTGTCGCACAAGACTAATATGAATATTGGAGAACATCATCCAATTTTCCTTTCGTCCGGACGTCGCCGTCGTACGCTGCTGTAGCCCTGCTGCTGTCGCCGCCGCTGGGGGGATTCTCGACAAGGATGCCATAGGAACCTGGCGGTGGAGATTTCTGCAATGGAGAGACAGCTCATTGACTCTCTGTCCGACGGGATATTTCCCGCGCAGCTCCCAACAAAAGAAAGCACATCTTCGTTTTTGGGGATGATGCCTGCTGATCGGTGAGCTTTCCATTCCAGGGAAAAGGCTTGAGCGGAATACATCGGGAGCAAAGTTCTGCCAGACACTGGCATAAATCCATTCTCCGTTGGGCTGCATTGCCACCCTTTTCCTACCTATCGAATACACAACAGAGAAATCACCTAGACGATTGGGGAGAAAAAATGGTAGCACAATTTATCGTCGCCTTCTCGGCGGTCTTCGGCATGGCGGAAGCGATCCGACACACACAACAGTCAGCCAGGAGGAAAGAACATCGCAGCCGGAAGAATAACCTCATTATCCGTTGCCGCAAGTCGACTTGTCACTCCCCAGATATCCACGGGAAACACGTAGTCCTCTCGGGAGACAAGGTATCTCAGATTCCATTCACACCAGTCTTGTTCCCTTGAGTCCCGAACTAGATTTGCTAATGAAAGCTGCTTACTATCTTTCTTAGCTATTTGTCGACACCGGGACTGATCCCGATTCTGCATTTGGACACCAGTTTGCGGGCTACTTCCTGCCGTACCCAGACAGCCAATACGCCGGTCTGGTCTCAACTATTTGCGACGAGCCGCCCATCATGAACTGGATCTACGTGGATCGTGACACGTACGAGGTCAAGTTCGGGACCCGGCCGTACGCTCAGCACAACTACACGGGCCCGTTCGATTGCACTAGGCAAGACAAGCGACTCACCTTCGCCAGTTGGGAAGGATTCTGCGTCGTGAAAACAGGGAACTTTTGGTCTCTCTACTTTGACGTCGAGCAGGATGGGCTCAAGTCAAAGCTCCCTGAGGGCGTGACTACCCTTGAGGTGGATCTCTTGCGCGTCGAGGTGCCTGTTAAGCCGGTCAAGCCTGAGGAACAGGAGCAGACTGACGGCAAAGAGAGCCAAGAAAACGGTGGTAGTGACAGCAGCAACAATAACGACAGCGGTACCAGCCCGCAAACGGGAGCAAATGAGGTGGAGTTGGAGTCTCCCGAGGTTGACTGATGTGTGGAGATACCGGGGGGCGAGGGCAACAAGGGAAGGCCGTTCATTGCTTTGAGGGAATCTTCCGAAGTAGAACAATCAACGTGTTGTTCAGAACAGCTTCATGAATGGAGAAACAATTTCATGTCATTAATCCCAGCTATTGCCTTGCCAAGTCTGAAAAGTGTGGTCCATCGGACGATTCCCGCTCCCGATTCGCAAGGATCCATGTATCACATCTTTTCCACGGCGAAGAAAACCACGATCCTCAATGGCAAAAGGGGGAAGTCCCAGCCGCCCCAACCCCGGATTCCATATAGGTACCTCTCTTGAGCCTTGCCTCATGGGTGTTTCACCCAAACTTGCAGTTGCCCGCCCTGCCACGGGGAGATATCGCATCCTTCGTCGAGACTGGATTTACGACCCGGGCGCGGTCTGCGAATGAACAGGGGTCACGCAGATCTCCCGCTGCTGGTCTTTGCTCGACTCCATAACGCGCGAGCTGAAGTCGGGACGAAGCAGTCCCTGCGGTCAGGCCTTATCCCAGCACCGATCATGGAGCCGTCATCGTAAATCTGAGCTTGACTTCCGGCTTTTACCTATACGACACGCACATCAAAGCTGGTCTCCATACCCTACCTTACGGGCACCTCACATCGCGGCGTTGTGGAAAGTTCTTTCGTCCTCATCTTGCCGAGATGATACCCGCCCTATTGTCCGTTGTCCCTGAGACATTAATGGCGCCAGCCCTGCTGCATGGCGTGACTTTGAAGGTTTGTGCCCACCTTTTCCCGGTTCCGCTGCGAGTGCGGCCGACGGCTGAGGCTCGAGAAAAGCAATGCCGCGGCGCTTAGTCCTTACAATGGGGGACCCGCATTGTAATATCGTGCCAGCTAACCGGAATTTGAACTCGCTGTAGAAGTCACGCCACATTCGAGGTTGATGATTTTAATTTTATAATCTTTGGGCGGTCAAACCGAACTCGGGGTTTCCTAATCGACTCATTCATCTTGTATTTGCAATTCACCGGACCCTTTCCTTTTGTTTTTGTTATCCAAGTCCTTCATACTCCGTGCGAAATCACAACTCTTCGCCTTGTTGCCTGCAAGATGATCTGATCTGACAAATCCACGTCCGAAGAGAATGAATCAGTCTCCTCGCAAAACCCAGCAAATCAACGTTGAACAGTCGCAAGCCTGGTGTGTTGGCAGATACCCACCTAGATCGTGACCCCACACCCAGCCTCACCCGCACTACCTGGCGGGATCAACCTCGCGCATGCCGGGTTCCTACGGCGGTGGAAGCTCGTGGGAAGTATTCTTAGCGGGACCAAGACTCACGACTCAAAATCCAGGAGCAGGAGAGGAAAACAGAGAGCGGGGTGAGACCTCAACCCGGGCCGGTCCAATGTTTACAAGCCTGAGACCGGGCTGTGGTCTTTGCACTTCGCAGAGGCATAGGAGTGGACTTGCCGCTGCGCTAAGAGATGCTACTATTGTTCTTGTACGATTGAGAGCGCCATTGGGAAACCACGACGGACCTCTCAACTCCCTTTGCAAAACTCTGCAAAATTTCATGTCTTCACAACAGCCCATTATGCCAGACAGAGCCGTCAAACCCAGACTTTAGTCTTTGCCCGGTGCTCAATCTCCTCCGTGCCAGACTCCGCTGGATTGAGCCGGCTCCTCCCGGCCCTCGACCCCGGCGCCGCCGAGAGGCCCCAAGATCCACTTCTCGGGATGTTGTGCAGAAACTCTAACCCGTTGCTTAGGGCTCCTTACCTAGCATCCCGGAAAACATCTTGACTATGCATCCACCTCCAACGTGCGTAAGCCGTGGCAGCTTCGACCCTGCCAGAAGCCTTTGGGTTCAGAGAGTTTCGGGGCTTGGCGGCTCAGACATTGGGAAGCATTGCAGTGTCCACACCGGAGCCCGGCAAGATCCAGCCACACGACAAACTCCCAGCAAGGCCCAGCCTTGTCTAGATCTTTCGCTTCCCGCCTCGTCGGACTCGCTGGCCTCGCCGTCTCAGCCGAGTGACTCGCAAGGCCGTGGGAAATAAGACGAGTACGCTGGGCCGACATCACCCGAGCGGCGAGCTGGAGGAGGGCCCGCTATTTGATCCTGCAGCCTGCCGCAGTGGCCTGATTCCCCAAGGCTTCGTGGCCCTTGGCAAATGGTATATCCTGGTTGTGTCTCGAGCCTCGAGGCCTCGAACTTGTATCCTTGCCAAGGCTTCGTAAATATTATCCAGAGAATAACTGGCATTGAGTTTTCTCCGACAGGCGTTTAGGTGAGACGCGTACGTGCTGTTGTACTTGCCTCGCTGATGCAAAGTCATCATCAAGTCTTCACAGTTCACATCTTGAAGGGCCACTGCATGATCATGCGATCATGCTCGGGTAGATTCAAGACTCCCTAGAGTCTCCCTTCTTTGCTTGTTCCTTTCTGTGGTCATATCCCAGCCAAAGTTGAATGGGAATCAAAGGTGCCAACCGCGCATAGCGGGCTCACAACCCTGTCTACAGTATTCTCCTTCCAAAGGGGCGGGACTCTCGCCGATCACTTTCGGGAGATTTACATGCTCCCACATGAGCATGATCTGATCTCGGGTAGGTACATTAAACACTTGCACCCTCATTGGCCCAACAGCTGTGGAATTTCAATGACGAGACCATAGGTGCATATTCTCGTTAATTTCCAATGTGTCAATGGCGCACCTGCAGCTCGGATAACTGTCGATCAAACAGAGATCGTCTCCCGCGGCAAGAAATTCGGCAGTGACCGCTCTCTCAGGTCTCATGGTAAATCGTAAGACGATGTGAGCTTCCGCAGTGAATAGATACATGTATATGGCAACATCTTGATTGGGTGGCCATCAAGGTTGCCTTCACGGCGTAAGGGGTTCTCTAGAGGGGAGTTAGAATGTGGTGCAACAGTCATGAGCAGAACCGTTGTGGAAGAATAAGGGTCAAAGTGGACTAAGACCACTCTTTATTAAGACTAGAAGGTAGTAGGTATCAATATTATATTTTAGGAAAAGGCTGCATTCGTTTGCCGTGCAGCACGGAGACCGTGGTCCTCTATAGGTAATTACATAAGAATAGACATTAGACCCCCCGCTCAATCGTGATTTATGTTGACTTGAAAGAAACCGTCGCATTGGACTTTTGCAACTTCTCGAGCTCATCCTTGAGGATATACAAGCTCAATCTCAAACCGGCACCACAGTACTCGGTACTGTTGCCAGGACACTTGAACGAGCAGTCCTTAGCCGTTACGTTGGCCGCCGGGGTGGTGCCACCTCCGCCACCGATGTTGAGGGCGTCGCCGCACCAGCACTCACGACCGTACTCGACACCAGCGTAGTTCTTGTTGTAGCAGGCGCTCAGACACATGCTGATCGTCATGTTGTCGCGGTTGATGATCTGGGCCGGGAGGAGACGGCCGACTTGCGGCTCGGAGAAGCAACCGTAGTAGGTAAAGTTTTCATTGCCGGTGGAGATGACTGGTCCGGTCGGGGTGGGGGTCGCGGAGGAGGAGGTTGATGTCTTGGTTGACGATGTGGAAATGGAAGGAACCGAAGGGGTGGCCGAGACCGATGAAGTAGCTGATGTGACAGACGAGGTGGCCAAGAGGCTGGTGGTAGAAATAGTGGATGAGGTGGCCGAAGCCTTAGCAGTCGCTGGGACGGACGAGTTGCTTGCTGAAAGAGTGGATGCG